ATTTTCCTCCCCATGGGGAAAAGAACTTAGCATGAGTTAAATAAATCACTACTCATATAGCAGAGAACTGGTGTCCTTGAGTTTTTTAGCAGTCTTCTATAAAAAGAAAGTGGCTCCTTTCAGTTGCCCTTTCTTCTCTATTAAATATAGTATGACATTTCTAATTTCTGCACCTGTCAGTCCTGGTGGGCATAAAGGGTATTTGTGTAATTTTAAAATTCATCAGAGTCTATAGAGCTCAAACTGCTTCTACTTCTTTCACAAGGAGATGCCTGCCAGCTGCAAGTGTCAGCCATTGTAATGACGGGCAGCCAACTAACTAAATATTGAATCAGGTAGCTGCCAGAGAACTATTACTAGAAGACAATTTAATTGATCCCCATCAAAAGCCAATGAAGTAAGGGTGAATTGCAGCATTTGGTTTATGTCTTCCAATGCAACATAATTATTGTGGCTTCATTCCCTAGGGCAGAAATGTGAACTCTGGCTTTGTGGATGTGCATTCACCTTGGCTGATGTTTTGCTGGGAGCCACATTACACCGCCTCAAGTTCCTAGGACTCTCAAAGAAATACTGGGAAGATGGCAGCAGACCCAACCTACTGAACTTCTTTGAAAGGATACAAAAACGTTTTGCCTTCAGGAAAGTCTTGGGGGACATCCATACTACACTCCTCTCAGCAGTGGTACCCAATGCATTTAGGCTGGTCAAACGGAAACCTCCGTCCTTTTTTGGGGCCTCCTTCCTCATGGGATCTCTAGGGGGGATGGGATATTTTGCTTATTGGTATCTAAAGAAAAAATATATCTAGTGCCAGCTGTTTTGATGTTTAGTTTGATGTCTCTGTGCTGTGTGAAACTATAACGAATCTTCAGTAACTATAAGGAAATTTGAAACCAATATGAATAACTATACTGTTAATGTAACATTCCATAGTCTAGAAGTAGGAAGCCTATACTGCAAGGACGCAAGTGAACAAAAATATTCAACTTGTACAATGCCTTTTTGTAGATGTCAATATTACAAATCTATAAATGGTGGGGTAGGTTTATATACCCACTGTGGAACAAAAACAGCCTTTTAGCAGTCAAGCACCACCAGGAAACAACTAGCAAATGAATTACAAACTGAGAAATGGGATTCCCTATGGCACTTCTAAGTTTTTCCACAAATTTCTCAATCACATAGCACATTATTTCCCTTACAAATGCAATTAACAAGGACTTTTCTATGAGCTATTTTTGTGTTGTGCTTAAAAAAGGATTAAAAAACAAATAGAACAGATGCAGTGAGTTTGATCACAATAGTTTGTGAAGTTTTAGTATAAATTGATGAGGTTTTTTTCGTTGTATTTTCAATTTGTTTACATCAAGTTTTTTTAATTAGCTTGCATTTGGACTATAATTCTCTTGATTTTTTTTTACAATTTTTAATTATGTCTTATAGTTTTCTCTGATTACAGTACTTAATTTCACAGATGAAATTCTGATTCATCAATGAGTTTGTCTCCAGCTTGCTTCCATGAATTTGCCAAGTGTCTTTCACCAATGGAACCTCTGTGGACTCTTAAGAACATAACTGTTTTCATTAGTTCTAAATAATTTTCAAGAAATTTGACACCCCACACTCCTTTTGGGGGACTTTTTCCTATTATTTTTCTTGTTGTGTATTTTTATTAGAAAACACTTTGCACAAAAGTCTTATTTCTCACTTTATTGTGCCTTTTGCATGTTGGAAAGAATAATGAGCATCAATGGTAGTCATGCTTAAATTACTTCTGAGAATTCAAATAAATCATATGGGAAGAATAACAGCTTTACATTTCTAAATGTGGTCTATATCAGTTGATTCATTTCCAACAATAAATCTTGTATACATGTGCAGTAATGACTTTCTGCACTTTGTCAGAAGAGTTTATTCTTCTTAGCTAAGTAATGCAGAGTAGTTTGTTTTAATTTTATAAAGTGACAGTTTAAAAGATAGTTAAAATAGCAGCATAAATGAACAACCATGGGCCCAAAATTAAATCTTGACCATGTGTACTGTGTACCTGTTTTTTGGGTTATTTTGTTTGTCAGACTTGATCCAAATAACTGACCAGGACAGCCTCTGCGTGTTGCCTATCTAATATGATGTACACCAAATTAAAGGCCATAACATTTGGGTATCCTGCCATGTATCTTTCATTGGCTTTTGTCATAATGGCTATAGTTATTTCCAGAATCAAATCAATGCATTCTCTGAACATCAGGTCTTGCTTATGATCGTCCCAGCCATTATCTGGTTAATCACTATGGACAACAGCAGTTGATTTTGTGGGTGTTCATGTGATCCAACAAGATTTTTCTTATGTTTAGATAGACATTTTAGCCTACCAAATGCTGAATAAAATGCATCTATCTCAGAACAGGTAATTAAATGCTATGTACTAGATGACATGATTGTGATGCTAGATAAGACAAACTTGTGGAATCTATCCATTCAGCGCTTTTGAAGAAGCTTTTTTTCTTTTGTTATCTACTTAATATTCAGGTAGGAATATGAAAATGAAAATTTGCTATTCCCCTATTTATTGAAATTGCTTTATGACCACCCATTTCACATCAGTGACTCTGGACAGTGCACAAGGATTAAAGTATAACCACAACATATAGCCCATAGTGCCCATGGTTAAACCAAACACCCCAATCACAGAAAAGCGCACCACCAATAATGGAGATTGCCTAATCTCCTGATTTAAACACATGAATTTATGCACATTAATAGCTAGTTAGATACTTCAAAAAATGAAGATACAACAGTTCTCAAATTTTCCTGAATTCTGTTCAATATCTAGATACTTAATACAACACGTTTAATATACAAGCTTAAGCTATTCCAGGGTAAGCAGCATAATATATGTCTAGAGATTTTGCTGCTGGCATCTGCTAAATTGCAAGCCTGCTGCAAAGCTCTTTGACTTCATCTTTATGTCAAAATACTTCTGGACCTCTCCTAGCCTCTTAGCCTTTGGAAGATAAATTGGACATGCCGACCTGACAGCTGTATGATCTGATGGCAATCACTCTAATGGCAGCCTTTGTAAGATGGTGCCTGTGATGATTTCCTGCCTAAGCAGGGGGTTGGATTAGAAGACCTCCAAGGTCCCTTCCAAATCTTTTAGTCTATTCTATTCTTATATAGTCTGAAAATCCAAATAATATCTTACATCCCAAAAGGTACCTGTCTTCTGCGAAAAGTGCAAAAGCTAGATGACTGTTCTGAATTATCTTTAATAAAACATTGCAATATGCCTGCACAATTCTAAAGTTGTACAGATATAAGTGGCGCCAACTGAATTTGATCTTGTTTTGTCAAGTACTATCTTTCTTTGCCAACAGCTGCTATCAAAACTTTCTGGATAATCCCTTTCCAGAAATACATCCCAAGAATAAGATCTCGAGGTAGGGCCAAAACATTCATTACCAACAAAATATGTGTAAATAACTAAATAACACCAGAAAGAATACTTCATGCCTTTACATGTCAGCTTTATTGCTGATTTGTACCAATGCTCCTCAGCCCAATTTTTGAATATTAGATTAGGAAAAGGTTACCTAAAATGAATCTGAGGGCTGTGTGACTTGTAAGGATCTGATGGAAACCCTAATCCTAAGCTTTTTAAGAAAAAGATGCATAAAAGAAAACGTTGTTGGGTTCTTTAGTCTCATCTACTTAGAATGGATATCAGTTGGGTACTTTGACCGGCAAGGAAATATCTTGTGCTATGATCTAGGATTCTTTTGGTCTTGTGGGGCCTGATGAGGTGAACAGAATACTGTATAAAGTAATTTAAGGGCATACATCTTTAATGTCCTTGTTATTGTGGGTAAGTAGCATGTATTACTACAGCTGCAAGAGAGTTTGAGTAGCTTCAAAAGCACTGGACTAGCTCCATCTGCAGTTGCACCTGCCCATGCTAGGTCATTCTCAGCTGAGGACAAATATTTCAGATGTAGAAATCAAACAGTTCCATACATAATAATCTTCAAATTTTAATGAGCATTCAAGGAATTTCGGAACTAATGGGAAGTTTATGCAATAATACAAGGGAGACATATGAACATTCTAATACCTATTTATATTGTTTTGATTATTGGGTTACATGATATATATTTGAAAAAATGGCAGGAAGTGGAGCATAGTTATGTTGGTAAGTGGGAAGGCTTTGAAAGGGCTAGAGCACGTGGGCACGGGTCTGTGCTAGGCCTTCAAGAACCTTCCCTATCCGAGGCATCCCATGATCTGCTTAACAACCTGCACATTAATTTAACAATTCATTGGGAAGAGCAGAGATGGGGGAATCATTAAGTGAAATGTTTCACTTACAGTTCTCAGGACATGTGCAAACTCCATTATAGTCATATCTCAAGGGCTGCCTGTAATACTTTCCTACTTTGGGTTTCCTACAATCTTTTCACTTCCCTGTACTTCTAGAAGAATGTCAAATCGAAGTATTTCCAATGTGTTATAATTAGGATCTTGCTCAAGTGTGAAATGAAGTTTACAACATTCATTCCAGGGTCTGTAGTAGAAATCAACTTCTAAGATTATCATTCTTATTAATTTAAAAGTATTTGTTTGGTATTAATTTTTTGAGCAGTCCTAGAATCCCTGCTGCTAAAATTAAAACACAAAACATAAACCAGGACAGAGCTAACATTCTTGAAATATCAATGGCAAACTCATTTTCATGGCCAAGTGTGCATAACAGAAATTCTCACTTATGCTTTGGAAGTCAAATTAACCATTTGAACACATTAAAGATAGTTTACCATGAAGACTGACACTGTAGTTATGAGATGATCAGAGCTTTACTTTGCCTACTTCAGGAAGACAGATTAATCTGTTCTCCATTACAGTTAGCAAAACACACCCAAAATTCTTTTTTATTGGTACACCAAAATAGGATCATGGCATACATTACATTAGAGATAGGAGAGAAAAAAAATATTACTTGGTAAAAGCAGTGCTTTTTATTTAATAAGATGTAGTAAAGTATGTTTCAGATTAAGACATTATTGTAGCACAACTGGTAACATAAGCAGTTTAGCTAAAAAAAAAAAAAAAGCCAAAACCACTGGAGAGATAATTTGTTATTGCACTGATTGAAGATGAATTTAATTTGTTCATTCATGGGCAACAAAACTGTCACCAAGTGATTATTACCCCCCCAAAAATCTGTATTACATAGAGTCAGAAGAATTTTTTATAGAATGCTTGCCTATACAATAACAATGTTAACACATCATACCCAGCTAACAAAATATACATATCTGTAAAATAAATGCATTTCAATGCCTTTGTTAAACAATACAAAACCAGTGTTTAAGAAATATGAAAAATATTACAGCAAATATACTTTGTGTAAGCCTAACTGTGTATAGCAATGCTAAGAAAAATCTCAGCTAACGGAAACATACAATACTTAGGAATTGCTTAAAAAATCACTAATTCTTCAGTAGATTACAATGACATGGAACCATTTTGTATATTGGAATACCCTGAAAGAATTACAGGAGCCATAAATATAACTTGATTGGAAGATGGGTTACCAGCCATAAAGGCTGCTCCTCATCTGCCTATGTAGCTCAATTCATGAAAGTATGATGAACTAAGCTACATAGATAAATGCATATTTAACTTCATTTCCAAAAGAGCTTACAATAAGACCAATAATGGTAATATAAACTAAATCTGCTTCTAATTCCATTGACATATACTTCTGATCTCAAATTTCTACCTCCATAAAACTTTCATTGCCAATGTGATTATTCTTTTACCTTTTCAACTCATTAGTCATCTAAATATGTCTATGTATGTATCTTTGTTTGTGTGTGTATTTATATACACACGCATACATACATATATACATATATATGGACTGTGGCTTTAGCTGCTCATTTTGATTTATGAACAAGCATAAACCTGAGTTTGAGTTTTTCTCCTATCTTGGAAATAGTGTTACACAAACCAATTGTCATGCACAATATTGAAGTTTAAATGTGGCACAAATACAAGCTGTTGTAACTCTATGAGGGACAAGTAACATAATCCTAAGTATGAGGCTATAATTCACTAAGGCATTACTTAAATCAGAGGAAATGCCAAAAGAATTTCATCTTTAAATAGATAGCATACACAAATTTGACTGGATAACTTTTCAAGGAAATATCTTGTAGTATATTTAAAGGTACCATACAATTCAAAGGCACTTGAAATGGCATGCCTGTTAAATTAATACAAAATCCTGAACTCTGGCAGTTTGTCAGCAATATAATTAACATGAAGATTTCAAACCATTTAGTGTTCCTATCACATCCAAATCTGAAAGGTCTGGAGCTGAGTTATTTCTGGGGGACATAAACATAGGATAAGTGTGCTAGGCCTCCTTAAGACTCTAACATACCTACTTCCCATCTAAAATCCCCCCAAATCTAAAAAAATAAATAAAACATAGAGACACAAAGACAGCAACAATTTTCAGAACCAATGCCTCCAGTGGTATCAATGCATGTCTATCATGGTGTTGGAGATCAAAAATAAAAATAAAAAACCCCAAAAGATCCTCACTTTAGCTTAGTAGCTGAAACTATGCAGCTTTGACCATTAAATGTCTAGTAGGAGCACATAAAAATACAGTAATTGAATATAACATATAAAGCAGCAAAATTCATTACAACTGGATCATTTTTCCAATTGCATTAAAAAATAATTGCACTTGTAGTATAATACCTTTAGTCAAAATGCAAAACTGTAGAAAAAACAATTAATATAAATATATTAACATTTTAAGGTTGTGCCATGCAAGAAAAGTCAAAGTACCCAATGAACCTAAACAAGAGTTTTTAAATAAGATTATTTTTTCCTGTTGTGACAGATGGCTGTAAAAACCAATATAGCTTTTTCTATATAATTCCCATATACAATAAATTATAACATTCCTATAGATTTCCCAACTGCCATCTTTAATTAAGAACTGGAAAAGCAGAGAATGTGAAAGCTGCAATCCATCAAGCCACAGCATGCTTTAACAGGATAGCTTTGATTACAGATATAAAGCATTTTGCAACATTCAGGGATACCATATTGCCAAAAACACGACATATAAAGTATTCTAAAGACTCTAAGCCAGATAAATTCTAAAAAAAAATGGTGCATGATGCAAGCTATTTCATCTGTACAAAGTTGAGTGTTGAAATAAACAGAATGGTGGGGAGTTGTTTTAAATCCAAAATCTCCCTATGGCAATACACACCATAAACTAATCTGGCTATCCTTTTTGTATTAATATATGGATTTAAATCAAACTCAAAAAAACCTTTGTTTTACATCTTCAAGCAAGATAAATTGAGAAATGTTTAAGTGTCTATTATTCGGTTAATTATCAGATTCTCAAATAAGGTGCAATCTTGGCCAATTTATCTTATCTTGTTTTGAAATATTTTTTATTATCATTTTCCTTTATAAAGCTCTAGTACATATTCTAATTTATTTTATTTAATTTTTCTAACCAAAAATATGTCCATTTATTGTCCTTTATTTTTGTAATAAAAATGCATATGAATTTTGCACCGGGGTGCATTTTTGTCTATTAAATTTGCCTCTTCACAGTCAAAAGTAGGGTTTTTAAGAGGAGTATTTTCCTCTCAGGTTATTCTAGTATCAATCTGGTCAGCAGTTTCCATTTAGTTAGCCAAGATTAACAAAGTCTTGATATTATTAATATAGCAACCACTTTCAAGAATTATATCACAAACTCATAATACAAACAGTATTTGGACTTTTGCCACTCACTTTAAATATTCATATTAATAGTTGTCTTAAAATTTAAATAATTAAAAATGAATATTCTTTAAAACAGATTCTGATCCACAAACTGATTTTATGGCCCACAATTAGACACTGGAAAATAAATTTAGATAAAAATAAATATGCTTTAAAACAGATTCTGATCAACAAACTGGTTTTATAGCCTACGATTAGGTTTTGGGAAATAAAGAGTTCTTTGGGGAGGAAGTCCAGGGGAGAAAGGTGACATGTACCAAAACCTGTACGTTCCATACCAAGCAGAAAGGCCAACCAAAGTGCCAAAAACCTTGTCCCAAAAATCATGGAAATATAAAGCAGTCGTAAGAAGCATGAAAAGCCAGATAAAAATCAAACAAGCCAGTGCGAAGAACAAACTGTTCACCACTGTGTGCAGTCTAGAACCCCGAAAGAATTTCACACTGGGCATCACAGCCATTTCTTCTAGAATCATTAGAACACAATATGAAAGGAGGAAGGAATGTCCTGAGATATCAACCTGTTGCCATATCCCACCAGCTTGTAGGCACTGTAGTTCGTTGGAAAGTTCTTGAGTCACTACAGCAAGGGATGATGATTTGTAACAACTGCCTGTGAAGTCCTGAATGAACAAAAATGTTCTTGTGCATGTATACCAAATGATAGTACCAACCAGCAATGAGAAAAGGCGAACGAGTACAGGCAAAATATTCTGGAGGACATTGTAGTTGGTAAGAGAGACGAATGGCAACAGCAGAGAGAATGTCCAGGCCCAGGCAAATTTCACAAAATAGCTGCCGGAGATAAAATGAGGAAAAAATATAGTGAGCACGAGGCAATATAAGTAACAAAAAGTTGTAATTTACATCCATCCTAATTAATTTCTGCATCTGGTAGGGGGAATGTTGCATCCATACTTACACATCCTGTAATAAGAGAGCCAACATATGATTTCATCTAAAATAATGTACCGAATTTGTGAAAAAATGTAAAGGTCTAATTTAGCACTTTTTAATAAGATCCAATTACAGGTAGTCCTTGATTTCTGACTGAAATGGGATGGGATTTATAATGGTAACAAGTCAAGGCACCAATGTGACTGGACCTAATTTTATGATTTTTTTTTTTTTTTTGCTGTGGTTGCCATAGTCATAAGGGTAAACCCATTCTTCTGAACAGTACAAATCACGGTCACATGACTATAGGAGGCTGTAACTGCTTTTCAGAAACCAGATGCAAAGCACCTAAAATCCAGTCACATAATTGTGGCAGGGGATATATGCACAATATTTTATAACGTCCATAAGGCACCTGTACCAAGCACACCATAATTGCAAATGGTCATTTAGCAAATGGTTGTTAGGCAACAACTACTTGTACAGTTCCTATTACTCTCAACTATAGTAGTATATTGGCTGAGCTAAACTGTGGTTGTAATAAAAAAATGATAGCAGTAATGACTTAACCTTTTAGGTAATTACTAAAGAGGAATTAATAACTTCCCCCAAAATACAATCTAGTCAAATTTCAAATGAAAATATTCCTTAAAAGGAATAAGAAAAAAGCAGACAGATATTTATAAAACATCCAGCTGACAGGCTTTTATAAAACTTCACATGGCCCAATAAAGTGGTTAGCTGCAGATTTCTAGTCTATGCCCTTCATCCCTAAGCGACATAACTTTTACTGCTTTTTGTGTACAACACAAAATACTTCACTGTTAAATCCAGCAGCAGTTCTATGTAAGTATACGGGCTGCTATGCATGAGTTGAACTTAAATCTTGGTGATTTTGTAGCCACACACCTGTACTTTTCTTAATAACAATAGTCATTTGCCAGTACCAATTCTAAAATGTTTTTAACTTCCTAATCTTATCTAGAATATGATTTTTCTTCTAACTACTAACCAGATCTTACCCTGCTTAAATTTAAGAAACAACCAACTAGTTTTTACCGGACTGCAATTCAGTTCAATTCAAAATAATATCTGGCTAGTAATTAACCTTGCTATATTAATTAATATACTTATTATAACTTATTCTTCCCAAAGTTTGGAAAAAGTGAAGATCAGTTAGCTAGTGGAATAAATTGCCAAACAGAGACCATGAGGTTGCCTTTATTGCAGGTGTCAGGCAGACACTGAACAATTATACGTTAATGTCTCTTAATTTGGATTCCTTCACTCAGCAAGATTTAAAAAATGCATTAAAGTAAACTCTATAGCCCCACTGGCTCTTTCTCAAACTACACAACTTGGGAAGCAAGTTAGAAATGTGTCTCAGGTATAAAGAGGTCTGAGGGATCCCCGAGAGAGAAAGGAAGAGAACGCCCTTCACACCAATTTAAAAGAGCAAGCTTTTTCTGGCTCATAGACCCCCATTCATACTGTATTCCGTCAACGCCCTCTACTCTTTTCCCCGTTGCCAGCCAGTGTCCCAGGCATAGTCAGGCCCTGTCTCTCGGATCCCCTCCATCCATCAACGCCCAGGACTCTCCAGAGTCAAAGAAAGCCTCTTACACAGTGAGTATGTTGCGCTTGTTACTCAAGTAAGTAGCAGTCAGCGGCATTAATTCTTTAATAAGGGATCCGATCACCATGAAGCTCATCAATGCCCAGGGCATCTTCCGCCGCACCGAACAATGGGTCAAGTAAGGCAGCAAGAAGCGCGTGGCTTTATCCACAGACTCCATGACCGAAGCCGGCAAGACGGCAGCGAAGGAGAAAGCGGTGACCCAACCGGCACGGAACCTCCAACCGCTGTATTGCGCCAATGCTCACGTCAACCAGCTCCGCCTCCATTCCAGTCCGCCGCCCCTCCTTCGCAAAAGCTTCTACGGTACAACTGTCCGGAAGGAGGCGAGCCAAGATAGATAGAGTGCGCATGCGTGTCTGCGCAGCCTTCGCGAGGCTTGTTGATTAGTCCCGGGCGGTGAGGTTTAAGTTTGTCATCTTCCGACTGCGGCTGCGTAATAAAGTCACGTGCTGTTTTGGCTAGGTTGTCATTTCTAACGTTGTGGTCTTGCCCAACGCCTGTTATTTGTTCTACACAAAGAAGTGTCTTTTTTCCAAATTGAAGAATTCTAATCTTTGTTCACAGAGTTGTTTGAGCCGCCTGATTATTTTGGTTGCTCTCTTAACTCCAAAGGTGCTTTTCAAAAGGCAACTGGACTTTGTTGATTTTTTTTCCCCCTTTGGAAACTTTTCGCTTTTTATCCAAGAAGCTTCTTCAGTTCTGACTGAATGATGGAGAAGGCAACTGAAATCCAGTCCAGTTGCCTTTTGAAAAGCCCTTTGAGATAATCATGACCTGGATGGTTGAGAATCTCCATAGATATTGCTCTCAATTTTTTTTAAAGCTCTCTTATATTCCTTTTCAAGTATGTTTCCAGAATTATGCTCTAGATATGGATATGCCACCAATTTATATAAAGTTATTACAATAGTGGAGTCCTTGATGTGCACTATCCAACATCAGTGCTGCTGATCTTAGACTCCAACAGTTCAACCGAGAACTACATATATTCTCTTCTGCTGTGGTTATTACAGTGTTGGCATTTTTATCTTTAAACTCTTTTCTAGTGATTTTTAGCATGGAATTTACCATCCTCACTTGGGAATTTTGGATACTTGAGGTATTTTTCTAGAGAAAAAGATAAGGGTGAGATGGGGTAAATACTTGAAGTATTCATATGTTTGGTTTTTATAGTATTGTTGCTTTCTAACCTAATTTTTCTGACATGAGAACCACACTACCACAATTGGAGTGGCCAATAAGCCTCAAAAAATAAATATTACATTATCAGTTGTACTGCACATTGTGATAATTTTTTAAAATTTGTAAACTGGCTTTCAGACTCATTGTCTCAGAAGACTGGTAAATTATATTACAGGTACATGAATATATTTGATAGAAAAGCAATTGTGCATGCAGTTATTTGAAACTGCTTCCAAAACTATGATTTATTGAGAAGTAAACAGATGCTGAAATGATTAAATCACTGGGTAGTGTCAGAAGATATGACATTATTAGCCACCAATCTTGAAGTAGAGTAGAGTAGAATCTGGAAGGGACTTTGGAGGTTTACTAGTCCAGCCCCTTGTTCAAGCAAGAGAACCTATGCCATCTCAGACAAGTGATTGTCCAGCCTCTTTTTAAAAACCTCCAGTGATGGGGCGTCCACGAATTGTAAAAGTCTCATGGAGTTTTCTCACAGGATTACCTTGATATTACATAGTAATGCATGCTTTGTTACATAATGTCATATGGATTTGACACATACTAATTTCAAAATATTGGCATTCACATATGAATGAATTAATCAGTGGAATGGCTTGCCATCAAAAGTTGTGGGTGTTCTGATACTGGAGGTTTAAAGAAGAGATTGGATGGCCATTTGTCTGAAATGGTAGGGTCTGCTGCTTGACCAGGGTGTTGAACTAGAAGACCTCAAGGTCCCTCCCAACTGTTATTCTGTTATTCCTAAGGCAAGTAAATCCTATATGTGTTGGGCAAGTGATCAAAAAGCTCTGCTCTGTCACCTTAGCCTTTTTTTCTAATAAGCCAGAAACCAGGACCTTTGAAGCTGATCTCAATACATTTTCCTACGTACAGACTGTCAAACAACCTGGTCCCTTTCTAGAAAATTTTCACAGACCTGGGGCTCTCCAAATATCTTTGGAGACTTAAGATTCAAACTTTCAAAGTTACTGGCTCCTCAATAAACAATGGTGAAGGTTTTAAAGGAGCACTTCAAATTAGAGGTACTACTGTAGTTATGCAATTAGAAGAGCTGGATTGGGAAACAATAATAGATAAACTAGTTAGATTCAGAATTATGTTAATGTAGATTAGAAACCAGTAGATGGTGCTATTTTACAACTATATTTTTTACTTTTCTCTACAATTACTGATTTAGGCCCTATTTGGAAGAATCTTATTCAGAGGAAAATATATATGTTGTGTCCATATCTGTACTGCTGAATAAATCATTCACAAACAAAAATCACCTCAAAAAATAAGCAGAAATGCTTTTATTGTACCTTATTAATTTTCTTCAGGCATTTACATTTCTGTTCTATGATAATACATAAGAAAGGCTAACTCATTACATTACAAATTATAACTCATTACATAACAAATCCTGTTGGTTGTTAATCTGCAGATCTTCAAGCCTTTAGACATAATGAGTGAAAATTAATGGTAGTTTCCTGTCATTTTGAGGTGGGAAATACATAAGAACTGTTGCATGTACCCTGAAATTAGTGTCTCATATAAAAAGTAAAAAAAATCCAGTACTTGATTCTGTGATGTAGTATAAGAGAGTAGGCTACCTCGAAAATAGCCAGCAGCTGTGCTGCTGTTGTCCTGCTTTTTTAAGCCCTCTCCCCAGCTAGCACAGCCAGGCTGGCGATAAATACTCTGCTGCAAGAGATCTGGGTATGATGGTATTGGTGGGTGGGAAGGAAGGAGGTTTGAGTTTATGTGTGTAAATAAAGAAGTTAGAAATATGCTCGTCTCTAGTAGTAGGACTCACAAGGAGGAGCAATAGTAAATGTAGCAACAGGGGAAAGATGTAATGGTGAGCAGTGATACTAGCCTGTAAATACTTCGATATTGCCTAGGGATCTGTGCTGTTGTGTTGGCAGAGTGGATGTTGAGATGGGTCCTCTCACATGTCCAGGGCCCCAGGCTCAGGCACAAAATCAAGTTTTCAAGTCCCAAATAGAAGTCTAGTATGGATATGGTCAATATAATCTTAGAGTGATGATGTTCTAAAGATTGGGCACCACAGCTGGATCCCACCAGGCAATACTCTTTAGCCAATGGTACCAGGACGATGCCCCTATTTCTTGATTGGGTAGGATAGGGAGAGATGATTGGAGTGAGACAGTCTTGTAAGTAGCCTAGTTCCAAGCTATAAAGGGCTTTAAAGGTGACAACCAGGACCTTAAATTGTATACAGAACTACACTGGGAGCCAATGCAGGTTGAGAAACAGTGATGCCACATTCACCAAATAAATGGCACTGTTAACTGCCTATGCAGAGGCATTTTGCACCAGCTGAAGCTTCTAATACTCTTCAAGGATACCCCCATGTAGAGTAAATTGTAATAACCCAGCCTATTCAGCCAAGGCTAAATCCAGCCGGAAGTCACAAAGGCATGAATGACTGCAAACAAAATCCCCAGGCCATGAACAGGTGCACCTGACATACAACCCAAAATTGCACAATGGTGCTCCAAGCCATGACTGCCACTTGCTCCTTGAACAGGAGCTGCAAGTCCTGGGTGACTTCCAAGATTGTGCATTGGATTCTGTCTGGTGGAGTGTCATCCCAACTAGAACAGATATAGAAGATTTTGGACCAGGAGTTACAAAAAATCAAAGCTGCTTGGGTTGAAGCTGTTGCATTCCTTCTAGACCTCACAGTTTTCAGGGATTGAGACAAAACCTTGTTAAATGAATAGTATATATAGTAGTCCTCCATTTAGGGAGGAATAGGAGTGAGCAAGCGAAGTATGTATTTAACTTGCTACATTAGAACTGTAAAAATCTTCATTTTGTATCTTTTTTCTAAGTTTAGGATTTTGAGTTTTGATTTAAGGCTTAATCCTAAAGGAAAAGGCAAGTTACATAGTATGACTGAAATGTAAAATGCAACTTCCATGTGTTAAATGTAGGCAGAAAGGTACCAGGTTAGGAAATCTTTGGGTTGCCCTTATTGCCGCAGAAAAATGTACTGTATTTCTAGTAGATGTCTAGTTACTGTTTAGAGTTCAAAGTCTTAATGCTTTTGCAGTATGGGAAGTAATAAACATACACATGAAAGAAAGTCCAAAGAACTGTGCAAGGAATTTGTCTCACTTTCATAAATTGGTTTTCTGAGATGTATTTTCAGTGAGCTAGCAAGCAGGAACTGTGAAATATGTAGCCATCCAGGGCAGAATTCATTTGCACAAAAAGCATGTATAAAGATATTTTAGATGCCATTATGCTGCTATAGAAATGCAAAAATTATTCCCTATAAACTTCAAACCAATGGCTCTTATGGCACAGCCAGTATCTAAAAAATAATGACATATCTCTAATATTTTATATAGCTACAATAGCCATATATATTCTAATAAACATTCAGTGACTTAAGATAAAGATTGAATGTACTTCATGAGCCACAATTATTCTTTTTTAGCCTCATAGTAATGCCTATGTAGATTGTTCTATCTTATATTGTTTTTGATATACAACACTATTCTAGGAATAATTTTAGAAATTTCAAAGTCTGATTAGAACTACAGTATATGCTATGTGCAATATGACCCTGTGTCAAATTTAGCATTCCTATGTTGAATTCAACCTTATAACAATAGCATCCCTTACTCTATCTTATTATTTTAAATTATGCCCTTCTGCTCTGTCCCTAGCAGCAGTAGCGAATTATAAAGATCAGGGTTCAGAAGACATAATGGAACAAAGTAAACCAACCTACCTATTCTAGAGAAGTGGGGGATTCAACACCCAAATTTTATTTGAGAACAGTGGATCTCAACACTGAATGTCATGAAGATTCGTATTTAGTAAAAGGGAGACTAACATCTAAGTGCTTTGAGGGAGAGCAGCAACAGTGCCTAATACTTCAAAAGAGTTATTTCACTTTAAAAATGTTGAGTTGCGATCTATGAAAAATGTCCAGCATGATTTTGTCTGGATTTAAACAGGCTGAACAACTCACAGCATGCACAGACACAACATTTTACATCACTGAGGTCTATAAATTTCCACAAGATTCTTATTAATCTTTAAAATCTTCCCAAGAGAGAATCATATTTTACTAAGAAGT